TTTGTAGTATTATAGTCTGAAGTCAGGGAGTCTGATTCCTCCAGTCCGTTTTTTTCCTTCAAGACTGCTTTGGCTATTCGGGGTCTTTTGTATCTCCATACAGATTTTAAGATGATTTGTTCTAGTTCCGTAAAAATGCCATTGGTAATTTGATAGGGATTGCATTGAATCTGTAGATTGCTTTGGGTAGTATAGTCATTTTCACCATATTGATTCTTCCAATCCAAGAACATGGTATCTCTCTCCATCTGTTTGTATCATCTTTAATTTCTTTCAACAGTGTCTTATAGTTTTCTGTATACAGGTCTTTTGTCTCCCTAGGTAGGTTTATTCTTAGGTATTTTATTCCTTTTGTTGCAATGGTAAATGGGAGTGTTTCCACAATTTCTCTTTCAGATTTTTCATCATTAGTGTATAGGAATGCAAGAGATTTCTGTGCATTAATTTTGTATCCTGCAACTTTACCAAATTCACTGATTAGCTCTAGTAGTTTTCTGGTGGCATCTTTAGGATTCTCTACGTATAGGATCATGTCATCTGCAAACAGTGAGAGTTTTACTTCTTCTTTTCCGATTTGGATTCCTTTTCTTTCTTTTTCTTCTCTGATTGCCGTGGCTAGGACTTCCAAAACTATGTTGAATAATAGTGGTGAGAGTGGACATCCTTGTCTTGTTCCTGATCTTAGAGGAAATGCTTTCAGTTTTTCACCATTGAGAATGATGTTTGCTGTGGGTTTGTCATATATGGCCTTTATTATGTTGAGGTAGGCTCCCTCTATGCCCACTTTCTGGAGAGTTTTTATCATAAATGGGTGTTGAATATTACCAAAAGCTTTTTCTGCATCTACTGAGATGATCATATGGTTTTTATTCTTCAGTTTGTTAACATGGTGTATCACATTGATTGATTTGCGTATATTGAAGAATCCTTGCATCCCTGGGATAAATCCTACTTGATCATGCTGTATGATCCTTTTAATGAGTTGTTGGATTCTGTTTGCTAGTATTTTGGTGAGGATTTTTGCATCTATATTTATCAGTGATATTGGTAATTTTTTTTTTTGTAGTATCTTTGTCTGATTTCGGTATCAGGGTGCTGGTGGCCTCATAGAATGAGTTTGGGAGTGTTCCTTCCTCCGCAATATTTTGGAAGATTTTGAGAAGGATGGGTGTTAGCTCTTCTGTGAGTGTTTGATAGAATTCACCTGTGGTCTTGGACGTTTGTTTGTTGGAAGATTTTTAATCACAGTTTCAGTCTCATTACTTGTGATTGGTCTGTTCATATTTTCTGTTTCTTCCTGGTTCAGTCTTGGAAGGTTATACCTTTCTAAGAATTTGTCCATTTCTTCCAGGTTGTCCATTTTATTGGCATAGAGTTGCTTGTAGTAGTCTCTTAGGATGCTTTGTATTTCTGTGGTGTCGTAACTTCTCCTTTTTCATTTCTAATTTTATTGATTTGAGTCCTCTCCCTCTTTTTCTTGATGAGTCTGGCTAATGGTTTATCAATTTTGTTTACCTTCTCAAATAACCAGCTTTTAGTTTTACTGATCTTTGCTATTGTTTTCTTTGTTTCTATTTCATTTATTTCTGCTCTGGTCTTTATGATTTCTTTCCTTCTGCTAACTTTGGGTTTTGCTTGTTGTTCTTTCTCTAGTTCCTTTAGGTGTAATGTTAGATTGTTTATTTGAGATTTTTCTTGTTTCTTGAGGTAGGGTTGTATAGCTATAAACTTCCCTCTTAGAGCTGCTTTTGCTACATCCCATAGGTTTTGGTCTATCATGTTTTCATTGTCATTTGTCTCTAGGTATTTTTTGATTTCCTCTTTGATTTCTTCAGTGATCTCTTGGTTATTTAGAAACATATTGTTTAGTCTCCATGTGTTTGTGTTTTTTACACTTTTTTCCATGTAATTCATTTCTAATCTCATAGTGTTGTGGTCAGAACAGATGCTTGATATGATTTCAATTTTCTTAAATTTACTGAGGCTTGGTTTGTGACCCAAGATGTGATCTATCCTGGAGAAAGTTACGTGTGCACTTGAGAAGAATGTGTAATCTGCTGTTTTTGGATGGAACGTCCTATAAATATCAATTAAATCTATCTGGTCTATTGTGTCATTTAAAGCTTCTGTTTCCTTATTTACTTTCATTTTGGATGATCTGTCCATTGGTGTAAGTGAGGTGTTAAAGTCCCCCACTATTATTGTGTTACTGTCGATTTCCTCTTTTATAGCTGTTAGCACTTGCCTTATGTATTGAGGTGCTCCTGTGTTGGGTGCATATATACTTATAATTGTTATATCTTCTTCTTGGACTGATCCCTTGATCATTATGTAGTGTCCTTCCTTGTCTCTTGTAACATTCTTTAAAGTCTATTTTATCTGATATGAGTATAGCTACTCCAGCTTTCTTTTGATTTCCATTTGCATGGAATATCTTTTTCCATCCCCTCACTTTCAGTCTGTATGTGTCCCTAGGTCTGAAGTGGGTCTCTTGTAGACAGCATATATATGGGTCTTGTTTTTGTATTCATTCAGCAAGCCTGTGTCTTTTGGTTGGAGCATTTAGTCCATTCACGTTTAAGGTAATTATCAGTATGTATGTTCCTGTGACCATTTTCTTAGTTGCTTTGGGTTTGTGTTTCCCACTTAGAGAAGTTCCTTTAGCATTTGTTGTAGAGTTGGTTTGGTGGTGCTGTATTCTTTTAGGTTTTGCTTGTCTGTAAAGCTTTTGATTTCTCCATTGAATCTGAATGAGATCCTGCCGGGTAGAGTAATCTTGGTTGTAGGTTCTTCCCTTTCATCACTTTATCATGCCACTACCTTCTGGCTTGTAGAGTTTCTGCTGAGAAATCAGCTGTTAACCTTATGGGAGTTCCCTTGTATGTTATTTTTCATTTTTCCCTTGCTGCTTTCAATAATTAATTATTGTCTTTAATTTTTGCCAATTTGATTACTATGTGTCTCAGCAGGTTTCTCCTTGGGTTTATCCTGTATGGGACTTGCTGTGCTTCCTGGACTTGGGTGGCTATTTCCTTTCCCATGTTAGGGAAGTTTTCAACTATAATCTCTTCAAATATTTTCTCTGGTCCTTTCTCTCTCTCTTCTCCTTCTGGGACCCCTATAATGTGAATGTTGTTGCGTTTAATGTTGTCCCAGAGGTCTCTTAGGCTGTCTTCATTTCTTTTCATTCTTTTTTCTTTATTCTGTTCTGCAGCAGTGAATTCCACCGTTCTGTCTTCCAGGTCACCTATCCGTTCTTCTGCCTCAGTTATTCTGCTATTGCTTCCTTCTAGTGTAGTTTTCATTTCAGTTATTGTATTGTTCATCTCTGTTTGTTTGTTCATTAGTTCTTCTAAGTCTTTGATAAACATTTCTTGCATATTCTCGATCTTTGCCTCCATTCTTTTTCCGAGGTCCTGGATCATCTTCACTATCATTATTTTGAATTCTTTTTCTGGAAGATGCCTATCTCCACTTCATTTAGTTGTTTTTCTGGGGTTTTATATTGTTCCTTCATCTGGTACATAGCCCCCTGCCTTTTCATCTTGTCTATCTTTCTTTCTGTGAATTTTTTTTCCCCCCCACAGGCTGCAGGATTGTAGTTCTTCTTGCTTCTGCTGTCTGCCCTCTGGTGGTTGAGGCTATCTAAGAGGCTTGATGGGAGGGACTGGTGGTGGGTAGAGCTGGCTGTTGCTCTGGTGGGCAGAGCTCAGTAAAACTTTAATCCACTTGACTGCTGATGGGTGGGGCTGGGTTCCCTCCCTGTTGGTTGTTTGGCCTGAGGCAGTCCAACACTGGAGCCTACCTGGGCTCTTTGCTGGGGCTAATGGTGGACTCTGGGAGGGCTCACGCCAAGGAGTACTTCCCAGAACTTCTGCTGCCAGTGTCCTTGTCCCCACGGTGAGGCACAGCCACCCCCCACCTCTGCAGGAGACCCCCCCCAACACCAGCAGGCAGGTCTGGTTCAGTCTCCCCTGCAGTCACTGCTCCTTCCCCTGGGTCCTGATGCACACACTACTTTGTGTGTGCCCTCCAAGAGTGGAGTCTCTGTTTCCCCCAGTCCTGTCAAAGTCCTGCAATCAATTCCTACTAGGCTTCAAAGTCTGATTCTCTAGGAATTCCTCCTCCCGTTGCCGGACCCCCAGGTTGGGAAGCCTGACGTGGGACTCAGAACCTTCACTCCAGTGGGTGGACTTCTGTGGTATAAGTGTTCTCCAGTCTGTGAGTCACCCACCCAGCAGTTATGGGATTTGATTTTACTGTGATTGCGCCCCTCCTGCCGTCTCATTGTGGCTTCTCCTTTGTCTTTGCATGTGGGGTATCTTTTTTGGTGAGTTCCAGTGTCTTCCTGTCGATGATTGTCCAGCAGCTAGTTGTGACTCTGGCGTTCTTGCAAGAGGGAGTGAGAGCACGTCCTTCTACTCTGCCATCTTGGTTCCTCCCCCTGGGGAAATTTTTATTTAGGTTAATTACAGAAGTTAACAGGGCTTGAATTGGTCAGGGGCACCAGTCACTGGGGGGCCTAGACTATGTTTGTGTTGTTCATTGCTGAAAGCCTACTGCCTTGTAGAATTCTGGTACAAAGTAATCCTCTAATGAATATTTGTTAGTGAGGCAGGACACTCCAGTTCAGGTGTTTTTGCTCGTGGTCTCTTTAACCACGACTATGCTGCCTCCTCCGCCAGGGGTCCTCCAGTCTGAATGACTGCTCTCCTTCCACCCCATTCTCCTAGGGAAACAGGGGAGACAAAGACCCTTCCACGAGGGTCCTGTGGTTAGATCTCTGTCATAGAATACCATTTGGGCCCAGTTTCTATCACTGTGGTGGCTGGGTGTTAGGAGGTAAATGTAGCAGGCCCTGTGAAGGAAGTCTCGCCGGGTAGCCCATAAGTTCTAAGCATTTGGAAGAACAGGGAATCAAGTCTTAACTTCAGATGAGGCGGAACTGCTCCAGCTGCCCCGGGTCTCAGTTCTGACTCACGCTCCTCTCTCTGCAGCAGAACCAAAGCCAGAACTCCACCTCAGTCCCTTCCGCCCTCCGGAGTTCTCCAGTCAGCAGCTCCACATGCAGCACATGCTGTGTAGTCACCCTCCCTGGATCTTCGCTTGCTGGTGTGCAGAAGAGCCTGTCCGGCCAGGAGCTCCGTGCCCTGGTGACCGGCAGCAGCAGCAGCAGCGAGCCTCTGATGGAAGTTCCTGGAACGACGAAGCAGAAGGTCAGGAGAGAGCAGGCACCCAGCCTTTGTTTGGAAAGACAAAGCAAAGGACTTCAGGCGCGTTCCCCAGGCCGCCACCCCAGCAGCAGCCGGTCAGCTCTGGGCATGGCATCCAAGGCGTGGAGGGAGTGGCCAGCCCAGCTCAGACGGGGAATCCCGAGGAAACAGACAGACTGTTGAAGAGGATAGAAGTCTTAGGGTTTGGAACAGTCAACTGTGGGGAGTGTGGCCTGGGCTTCAGCAAGATGACAAACCTGCTCAGTCACCAGAGGATACACTCAGGGGAGAAGCCGTATGTGTGCGGGGTGTGTGGGAAGGGCTTTAGCCTAAAGAAAAGCCTTGCCAGACACCAGAAGGCACACTCGGGGGAGAAGCCCATCGTGTGCAGGGAGTGTGGGCGAGGCTTTAACCGGAAGTCGACACTCATCATACACGAGAGGACACACTCAGGTGAGAAGCCTTACATGTGCGGCGAGTGCGGGCGAGGCTTCAGCCAGAAGTCAAACCTCATCATACACCAGCGGACACACTCTGGGGAGAAGCCCTACGTGTGCCAGGAGTGTGGGAAAGGCTTCAGCCAGAAGTCAGCTGTCGTCAGACACCAGAGGACGCACTTGGAGGAGAAGACCATCGTGTGCAGTGACTGTGGCCTGGGCTTCAGCGACAGGTCGAACCTCATCTCACACCAGAGGACACACTCCGGGGAGAAGCCTTATGCCTGCAAGGAGTGTGGGCGGTGCTTCAGGCAGAGAACCACCCTTGTCAACCACCAGAGGACACACTCCAAGGAGAAGCCTTATGTGTGTGGCGTGTGTGGGCACAGCTTCAGCCAGAATTCAACCCTCATCTCACACAGGCGGACACACACTGGGGAGAAGCCTTACGTGTGTGGGGTGTGTGGGCGAGGCTTTAGTCTCAAGTCACACCTCAACAGACACCAGAACATACACTCAGGGGATAAGCCCATTGTGTGTAAGGACTGTGGGCGAGGCTTCAGCCAGCAGTCAAATCTCATCAGACACCAGAGGACACACTCAGGGGAAAAGCCCATGGTGTGTGAGGAGTGTGGGCGAGGCTTCAGCCAGAAGTCAAACCTCGTTGCACACCAGAGGACACACTCTGGGGAGAAGCCGTACGTGTGCAGGGAGTGTGGGCGAGGCTTCAGTCACCAGGCAGGTCTCATCCGGCACAGGCGGAAACACTCGAGGGAAAAGCCTTACACGTGCAGGCAGTGTGGACTCGGCTTTAGCAATAAGTCAGCTTTAATCACGCACAAATGGGTACACTCGGAAGAGAAGCCCTGTTTACTCAGAGAGTGTGGCCAAGGCTTTCCCCAAAAGTCACACCTCATCTTACATCAGATGACACACCAGGGCAGGAAGCCTTATGTGTGCAAGACGTGTGGACAGGGCTTTAGCCAGAAGTCTCACCTCAGCAGACACAGGAGGATGAAGTGCGCCCATCACAAACTGCAACTGCAGTCTGACCCCGAGGCCTACCCAGAGCAATCTTCTGACCCCCTGCACTCTCTCTGAGAGTGAAGATGGTGGTGAGCACTGAATAATCAAACATCGTACACTTTCATGAAACATATTCTGTAAGTGGTCAAAGGACATTTGCCTTCGTTTACTTCCTCCATGCTGAGTCTTCATGTTTTGTGGTCTTTTGTTCTAATAAACTGCTTCTTTACAAACCTTGGCTGTGTATTTCATTCACTCCTCTATAAAGATAGGGAATGAGGAGTGTTAACGGAAATCTTGAGCTGCTGAGTCCACTATTCCATAAAAATTCGATTCCTTGTAAGACATAAGAACTGAGTCACTCTGTATTTATTGGAAAAGTCTGGTCCCCTGTATAGGGAGAGAATCTGGGGACTGTATTCAGGGGATTTAGGTGAGGGGAGGGAATCTTCCAGGAAATATGGCTTTCCCTAGCCATTCCTCTCATCTGCAGCCCCCTTTCTTGCCCCTCTCCTGGCTCTGAAACATCTACATTGTTGCCTTTGCTGAATCATCCCCTAACTGCTTTTATTGCTTTTTTTCAGGCTTTAGTCCCTAGTCCTCATGTCTTGGGGCCCCCTTGACAATATACTGTCCCCAGCACTCCAGTCTCAGAGCCTGGTCCTCCGGCTATGACAACCTTGGGTCTCCAGTCACACCCATTCAGATCACCAAGAACATGGTGCTCTGATAATGAGACAGCCTGTAAGCAGGTGCCCTCCTAAGCCCTTCGGTAACAGGAATAAGACTTGAAGCCACATTCCCAAATCAGCCCTGTAACGTCAGGGTTAGAACTTGCAGTTGTGCTCCTTGGCACTCCACCCCATGCCCAGCCCTCATGGCAACCATCCAGTAACTGGTCTAAGGTCCCTTAGCCACACACCCTCAAGAGTTAGAACTTAGTAGTTCTCCCACCACAAGGCTGTTTATCATAGTGAAAAGATATTTAATCATATTTGAAGATTCTCAACCATACTTCCTTCATTGTGTTCCCAGCCACAGTGGTTTTGCTCTAAACAAGTGGCCTTTAAGGTAAGGATCATCTCATGGTTGCAGCTCTGAAAACCTTTAAGACTTCGGAAGATTTCAGTGTGAAGCTCCTAGACCCTACCAACTCCACAAAATGGTTTCTATGAGTTTTAAGGGTATCATCCCACAGCACCCTACACTCAACCCAAACCAGAGAGGGGCCTGACTTGAAAAGGTTTGTAGGTTTGGTTTCATCTAATGGAGTGAAATTCAGTTAAGAGGCATAGGAAACCCAAGGCATTTGAAATAGAAACACCAGCTTAAGTCTGTAAAGGACAGAGAAAAACGCCTATGTTTTTATGGGCAGGGAGGCAGGCTGAGAAATATACTGAACTGTAAACAGCCCATTTCTTAGGGAAAAGGAAGAATAACAGTGCAGACACAAAAGCCATGAGAGTCACTCTCAGGGGGCAGTACCGGGCACTTGTCAAGGAACTGATGGCATGTGCCCGGCTCAACTTCACAGTCCACACCAGGACACGTGGTCAGACTGTCAAAAGAGAGAATCTTGAAAGCATGGAAAGAGACATGCCACATACAAGAGATCCTCAGTAAGATTGACAGCCGGTTTTCGTTAGACACCATGGATGCCAGAAGGCAGCAGGATGGTATATTTAATGTGCTTGAAAGAAAAAAAAGGTCAACCAAGAATTCTGTGTCTGGCAAAAGTAGAGAAGTTAAGACATTCTCAGAAGGTTTGAGGGAGTTCATAACTAATAGACATGACCTACAAGAAATGCTCAAGGCTGGAACGAAAGGACACTGGAATAGTAACTTGAAGCCATACAAAATGTTAATAATAATCCCAGTAAAGGTAGCTGCATAGTTAAGTATGAAGTCAGTATTATCATATTTTTGGCTTGTAACTTTCTCATATGTGATTTAAAAGACAAATGAATAAACAATAATCATAAACCTGTTAATGAGCACGTAATGTATAAAGATATAAGTTGTGACAACACAACATAAGATGGGGTGGAATTGTATAATTTTTATATGCTATTGAAATTAAGTTGGCATTAATTCAAACTAGATTGTTAGAAAATTAAGATGATAATTGTAATCTCCAGGGTAATTTTGAAGAAAATAACTAGAAAAAATATACAGAAGTATATCCTGTACATATGTAAATATGTACATACAGAAATATACGGAATTTATATTTTGAGAAAAAAATCAAAATGATACACTTGAAAAAATTAAACACAAAAGAAGGCAGTATTGGATGAATTGGGGAACAAAACTTATATAAGCTATACAGAAAATACCACAGTTGCAAAAGTATGTCCTTTCTTATCAGTAATTTGAATATAGATGGATTAAGCTCTCCAATTAAGAGGGACACCAGCAGAATGGATTAAAAAACACATGATCCAACTATATGCTATCTCAGAGATACTCACTTTAGATCCAAAGGCACAAACAGGTTGAAAGTCAATGAATGGAAAAAAGGATATTCCATGCAAATAATAACCACAACAGAGGTGAGGCAGCTATACTAATATCACAATACTGGACTTCAAGTCAAAAATTGTTTCAAGAGACAATGACATTCTATGTTGATAAAAGGGTTAATCCATCAAGAAGATGTAACAATTACGTACACACCTAGTAACAGTGCCCCGCAACATATGAAGTAGAAAATTAACAGAATTGAAGGGAGGAATAGTTCTACAATAATAACTGAAGATTTCAATGCCCCACCTTAAATAATGGATGGAGAAACTAGACAGAAGATCAATAAGGAAACAGAGGACTTGAGCATTACTGTAAACCAACTAGACCCAACAGACATGCACAGAAGACTCCACCCAACAGTGGAATACACATGCTTCTCCAGTGCATGTGGAATATTCTCCAAAATATGTAGGACCATAGAAAAGTTCTCAATAAATACTAAGAGATTGAAATCATACCGGGTATCTTCTCTGTCTGACCGCAATAAAATGAAACTAGAAATCAGTAACAAGGAAAACTGGAAATTCCACAGATGTGTGGAAACAGCACACTTGCAAACAACCAATGGGTCAGAGAAGAAAATCGCAAGGGAAACTGGAAAATGCTTTGAATGGAGCAACGAATACCTGCTGCTAAGGTTTCCACCACGGGTGCAAGGAAGAAGTTTTCTGATGCTTTCTGTCTGATTATGAAAAGCTAAAATCAAATGGGGAAACATGGGAATTTTAAAACAGAGGGGCCAGATAATTTTTCAACTCAACCTTGTAAACAGCAGAGCCTGGTATACTCCAAAAAATGTAAAAAGTGAAAAAAAGGAATCTAGAATTTGAGTTTATATTAGCAATGCTGGAAAATTATTTCCCTTACACCCTTGCCTTCTGGTTGATTCCACTTTAAAAACTAGAAGATCAAAATTAATTTTTTGTCAAAATTAATTTAGATTAAAAGGAAACTAATGACTATTCAATTTAAAATTGCTTTGAGATGAATGAAATGAAAACACACCGAAACTTACGGGGTACGGCAAAAGCAGTGCTCAGGAAATTTATAGCTATAAAGGCCTACGTTTTAAAAGAAGGAAAACCTAGGGGCTTCCCTGGTGGTGCAGTGGTTAAGAATCTGCCTGCCAATGCAGGGGACATGGGTTTGAGCTCTGGTCAGGGAAGATCCCACATGCCGTGGAGCAACTAAGCCCTCGCGCTGCAACTACTGAGCCTGCGAGCCACAACTACTGAGCCCATGCACCACAACAAAGAGTAGCCCCCGCTCGCCACAACTAAGGAAAGCCCGCACGCAGCAATGAAGACACAACGCAGCCAAAAATAAATAGATTTTTAAAAATTTAAAAATAAATAAAAAGAAGGAAGATCTCAAATCATAAACCTAAGCTTTGAACTTAGGAAACTAGAAAAAGGGCAAACTCAAACTTGAAGCAAGGATAAAAGAACAAAGATTCGAGTGGAAATTAACACAGACAATAGAAATTAATAGACACAAATCAATGAAACCAAAAGTTTCTTTGAAAAGTGCAACAACACCGACAAACTTTTAGCGAGACTGACCAAGACAAAAAGAGAGGAGCCTCAAATGACTAAAATTAGAAATTAAAGTGGGCCGTTACTAATGACTTTACAGAGCCGAAAAGGATTATAAGAGCATGCCGTGAATTACTGTGTCAACAAGTTAGTTAACCTAGATGAACAGATAGCTTGAAACATACAAACCCTTAATCCTGTATAAATAGGAAATCTGAGCAGACCAATACGAATAAGGCGATCGAGTCAGTAATCAGAAACCTTCCAACAAAGTAAAGCCCGGAATCAGATGGCTTCGCTGGTGACTTCTACCACTTAAAGATTTTACACCAGTTCTTCTCAAAATCTTACAAAACCTCTTCCTAATTCATTCTGTGAGGCCAGTATTCCCTGATAGCAAAGCCTGACAGAGACAACATGAGAAAACTACAGACCAATATCCTTTATGGACATAGATGGAAAAACCCCCAACAAAATGCTAGCAACCAAATCCAGCAGCATGTTACAAGGATTTTACACTATGACGGAGTGGTTTCCTGGTTCAGCACAGGAAAATCCATCAATACAATACACCACGTTCATAGAATGATGGTTAAAACACACACACAAACATGCACACATTCCATTTATATGAAATACCCAGAATAAGCCAATCCAAAGAGAAGGCAAATTAGTGGTTGCCAAGGGCTAAGGAGAAGGGGGAAATAAGGAGTAACTTCCCTGTTAGTGATAAAGGGCTGCCATTTGGGGTAATAAAAATGTTCTGGAACTAGACAGTGATGATGGCTGCAGAACATTGTGAATGTGTCAAAAGCCATTGAATTGTATACTTTAAAAATGGTTAATGGGCTTCCCTGGTGGCGCAGTGGTTGAGAGTCCGCCTGCCGATGCAGGGGACACGGGTTCGTGCCCCGGTCTGGGAAGATCCCACATGCCGCGGAGCGGCTGGGCCCGGGAGCCATGGCCGCTGGGCCTGCGCGTCCGGAGCCCGTGCTCCGCAACGGGAGAGGCCACAACAGTGAGAGGCCCGCGTATCGCAAAAAAAATAAAAATAAAAATAAAAATAAAAATAAAAATGGTTAAAATGATAAATTTTATATTATCTGAATCTTATTTCAGTTAAAAAATTTAAAAATCTTCCCTACCCAAATCCTATTAATTAATAGGTAGAATAA